GTCCCCTCCATGCTTTTAAATACAAGGCCGAACTCAACACTCCCCAGCTGCCTCCCCCCCTCCCCAGCTTGTCTGGTCTCTGTGCAAAAGGAAAAGAGAAGAACAGCAGGAAACAGCAGGAGGGGGGGTCCCCGTAGTGCTTCGCCCTGCCTGGGGAGGGGGAGGTCTCTTCAGAGTCTCTCGTGTGCCCCGTCGTCGTTGTCATCGTAGCCGTGAAAACCTTTCCGACTTGCCAGCTCCATCCAGTCTGTGCGTAGGAGGGGGCAGGTTGTAGGGGGAGGGACGTCTTTGGGGCAGAAGCCACCACTGCCCCCCCGCTGGCCTGCCCCACGGGCCGTGGTGCTGCCGTCCCGGCGCTCCTCCTGCTCTCCCAGGAGAAGAGGCTTCACTCCACCCGGACGAGCAGCCCGTAAAGGACGACGGCCCCTTTCTCCTTGGTGACCCACTCGATCTCGGCGCTGCTGAAACGGGGGTCGGCGGGCTCCGGGGCGGCCAGCGACGGCGGGCACACTTTGTACGACCCCGGGCGCACGCACACCTGGAAGGCCACCTGGGCAGAGTGCTGGCGGAGAGACTTCGGGTCCTTGAATCTGGAAAGCAAAGCATTTTGGAGAAGTCACCGCAAGGCGACCACGACCGGAGTTCGTTCCCTGAGGTGCGTCTTGACACCCAAGGCCATTGACCGGCCGGTGGGAACGTGGCCAGAAAAGAGGACGGTGGAACGACAGAAGGTGCAAACCGGACCCTAAGTGGCACCATCAAAGAACCTGGGCATGGATCGCCGGGCGGAGACAAGACCAGGACAGCAATCATCCTCCAAACCCTGTCGGGCTTGCCTGACTCGCTCTAGAAGCTCTTCCTCCCAGAGTCTTGGCGACGCTGGAGAGTTAAGACCACTTCGATGCCCCTTTCAACGGCCAGGCTGGCTTAGACCCACCAGAACCCTGGGAGTTTGCCCTTTGGGGAAAAGGACTCAGAAATCCATTCCAGGGAGCAAACTAGAACTCTCTAGCAGGGAATTCCTGAGTCAGAGAGAGAGGCTTTTCCAAACGGGATGGGCACGCTCTGTGGCTTTTAAATTTATTTTTAGTTTCCATTTTATTCATGATCCCTGCTGAATTCCTTTTAAATATTGGTACATTCACTGTTTTTCACTTTTAAATATTGTCCTTTGAATGAGGTCAGCTGCCTTGGGTCCTTTTAAGGAGAAAATCCCTGCATTCTGCAGCAGAGGGAGTCAGAGAGGGGCCTCGAAGGGATACCAAACATCCAATGTAGATATAATCTAGTGACTTCCTTCTGCTTATTCCACTCGGAAGGTCTGATTCCCAGACCAGAGCCTACCTCCCCCCCGCCCTCCCTTTCATTGAACTACCACTCCCAGAATCAGAGAGAGAGCGTGCTCTGTGTCTTCCACCCCATTTGGGGATAAAATATTCATTTCACCTCCCATCCCTTGCTCTCTCTCACGCACACACATGCACGCACGCACGCACGCACGCACGCACGCACGACTGTTTGAGGCCCGGAATACTTACTGCACTTTGGTGGCAAAAGGCTCCAGGCCGGCATAGCGCAGAGTGGGCGACAGAAGGACCCGCTGGAGCTCTTCGCGGCCCTGGGAGCTGTTCTCCTCGGACTCGTGGTACCCTCCGCTCCCGCTGCCACCCCCGCCGCCGCCCCCACCCCCCTGCGGGTCTGCTTTGACGGGGCGGCAGCTCAAGATGGACGTGTTCCCTGCAAGGCAACGAGAAGAGAGAGTCACCCCCCGCCCAAGGGAAGAGGGCGTCAGAAGGGGATCAGGTAGGAAAGAAAGACAGACAGACGCCAGGGCTCCGTGGTATCTGCTCACCTCCTCCGGGGAAGCCCTCCGAGCTTCTGACCCCATGCCCACCCCCCTCCAGGGCAAATTCGCAAATACAGAGATACAGGTACATTCACACGGAGGGGAAGTAGGTACAACCTCCTTTCCTTTCCCTGGTTTCAGCAGCATAGCCTACGTATTCAAAGTCTCTGAAGAGCTCCGAAGAACGTTAGAGCTCGGTTTTTCCGTGCCGTCAAGGCCCCTCCGACAACTGGCGACCCCTGGGTGCGAGCGTTCTCCGAAAGGGCCCCGCCCGGCTTTTGTACACTCAAGCGGAGGGCATCCTTTTGGCGAGTCAGTCCATCCCTGGTTGGGCCTTATGACTCAAGGTACGATCGCTTTTCTGGACGAAAAGCCTAACGGGCCTGGGATCTACCGTATGACGACAACCTTGATTTCGGTGCAAAACGTCTCTGCACTCTTTGAGTCAAAGAACTCAAGAGCAGAGCTTTGGGGTGTCTACCTTTTCGGCCTACGATGCCCTGGAATTAAAAGTCCGCTTCTGGCTGGGGGAAGCCTAGGGACATCCACCACTACGAGCGTCGTGCTAAAACAACGTCCGGCGCTTTGCTAATCCCCCTCCCATTTTTGGCTGACTTTGTTTCAGCCAGGGTGGAGGCGTTCTGGGTCGCAGGGGCAGGCAAAAAGGTGTGCCAGGGATGGCCTTAGGGAACCCTGCACCTACCCTGTGGCCCACCACGCCAGCTTACAAAGAACCACCCTCTGCGTCGGCTGGGGGTGGGCTGGGGGGGTGGGCTCTGCAGCCCAGACAGGCGAGACCTGCTCCGTAAGGGACAGTGATGGAGCGAGCGTTCCTCATCTTACCTGGGACCAATTCTCCTTGATCCAGCGTGCGCCGCACGGCCCCCACGTTCGTCCCGTGGTAGGCCATGTGCCACTTCTTGCAGGCACTGGCCACTTCCAACCGGGGATTTACCCTAGGAGAGAGTGGGAAGACGCAGGAAGGGTTTGGAGTGAAAACCCAGAGCACCTGCAACCTCTTGCAGGCTAAAACTAGCATCCAGGAATCTACGTCAAAGGTTGGAAATCACTTTTTTTTTTTAAACTACAGTTACCAGACACTCAGCAAAGCACAGCCGTGGGCTGTTCAAACACCCCTCCTTCCAGGTGGCCTCTTGAAACTCTTCGATATTTATTGAAATTACTAGATTGATTCTACAATACAGTGGTGCCTCGCTTAATGGGCGCCTCGTTTAACAACAAATCCGCATAGCGATGAAGATTTTGCGATCACAAAAGCAATCGCATTGTGATGTTCCCTATGGGGAAAAATCGCTTTGCGATGATCGCGGAAGCGATCATTGCAAACGCCCCATTTTCGCCCAGCTGATCGGCGGGGCTTCGGGATGATTGCGGGGAAGGGCTTCCCCCCGATTATCCCAAAGCCCCGCTGATCAGCTGGGCGAAAATGCCGGCTGGGGCTTTGGGAGGACCCCTGCGGTACTCCCAAAGGACCCATTTTCCCCCAGCTGATCGGCGGGGTTTTGGGAGGACCGCTGTGTTGCCTCGCTTTAGAGGCACCGAAAATGGCCGCCCCTATGGAGGATTTTCGCATAAGGTGAGTTTTTAAGCCCATAGGCACACATTAAATGCGTTTTAATGCATTCCTATGGGCTTTTTTATTTTGCATAGCGACGAATCCGGATAGCAATGATTTTTCCGGAACGGATTATTGTCGCTATGCGGGGCACCACTGTATTAACAAGGGCTTTATCGTTCAGCCTCTCGGACCCAGAGGTCTACGAGCTGCTCGGAGCACGACAGCTGAGGACAGCGGCTCCCAACCTGGGATCACCCAGATGGCCTTGAACTACAACCCCCAGAACCCCCAGCCCGATCAGAGAGTGCTGAAGGTGTCTGGGAGTTAATAGTCCAGGAGCCCCTGGATTGCCCAAGGTTGAGAACCACTGGCTTCGTGGAAAGGGGAGAGAGAGAGAGAGAGGAGAGTGATAAACAAACACACGTTATCTCCCTGGCTGGCTTCCGCTGACCCGGACCCCCTCGAGGGTTACACCTCGCCACCCCTCTTCCCACAACCACCCTCCCTGCCGCCCTCACCTGAGGTTGAAGCGGCACCATCCGAAAGGCAAAGCGTAGTCTCGGGGAGGCTCCCCTCGCTTGTAATACGGCTCATCGCCCCGGAGCTTGTGGCACGACTCGCAGTAGCAGAGGCTGAACTTGGGGTCTTCTGCGAAATAATCATCTGCGGAGGGAGAAGGGCAGGGAGGGGGCGCGTTTGGAACCAGATGCTGCCAGAGGCTCCGTCTTCTCGGGAGGAAGAGAGAGCGGCTTCCCAGCTCATCCACCCTATTCAGGTGTGAAGAGCCACCAACTTTCCTGGAGGCTCACAGGCTTCGTGAAGTCAACGGAGCGAAGGACCCAGGGGTGTGGAAAATCTCTCAACCTGCATTTTCTGAGTTGACATGTCATGAGACCGACGACAATCCTACCTTCTTTCACAATGTGCAGCCTTCCTGTTAGAACTTTAATTTAACTGCCCTCTTGAAACCTAGATTTCTGGCGTTCTCTGTTTCGCCCCAAAACTTCCAGCCCTACAAACTCGGCCGTTCCCAGCCTGATCAACGATCCTGCACACCTCTTGAAAGCTCACCTATGCCTGAGATTTTAGTAGCCCCAAAGAAGTTATTATTCATCCCTGTTTCGGGATGTCGTACACTGAACAGACCGCTGTATTTCTTTGTGTTTGTTTCTCTGAATCCTACCAAAATGAGTCTTCCTCCCTTTGTTCCACACTGGACTGCAGGAGTCTGTTTTTCTCCTTCCCTCCTTGTAATTTGCCCGTTTTAAAACTCCTTTCCAAATGTGACTTTTTACTTATGTGTGTTACTGAATGGATGCCTTCCCTCCAACCTGCTCCATTGGTTAAATCACAGAATCCGAGAATAACGGAGTTCAAAGGGGGTCTTACAAGGCCATCCAGTCCAACCCCTGTGCTCAAGGCAGGAATCCCAATCAAAGCAGATCGGACAGAGGGTGGTCTAGGTTTCTCTACACCTCCCGATTGCTTCTCTGAATCCTACCAAAACGAGTCTTCCTCCCTTTGTTCCACATTGGACTGCAGGAGTCTGCTTTTCTCCTTCCCTCCTTGTAAATTTGCCTGTTTTAAAACACCTTTCCAAATGTGACTTTTTACTTATGTGTGTTACTGAATGGATGCCTTCCCTCCAACCTGCTCCATTGGTTAAATCACAGAATCCGAGAATAACGGAGTTCAAAGGGGGTCTTACAAGGCCATCCAGTCTGTGCTCAAGGCAGGAATCCCAATCAAAGCAGATCGGACAGAGGGTGGTCTAGGTTTCTCTTGAATGCTTCTCCAGTGTTGAAGCGCTCACCACCTCCCGAGGTCATGTCTTACAAGGCCATCCAGTCTGTGCTCAAGGCAGGAATCCCAATCAAAGCACATCGGACAGAGGGTGGTCTAGGTTTCTCAACACCTCCCGAGGTCATGGGTCCCATGGCTGTATTGCACTAACAGTTGGGAAGTTTTTCCTGATATTCAGCCTAAATCTGGCTTCCTGTCGCTTGAGCCCATGATGACATGTCTGGGACTCTGGGAGGATCACGAACAGATCCTGCCACTCCTCTGCAGGACTACTACTATCGTGGCTAGAGGGTGGTCTAGGTTTCTCAACACCTCCCGAGGTCATGGGTCCCATGGCTGTATTGCACTAACAGTTGGGAAGTTTTTCCTGATATTCAGCCTAAATCTGGCTTCCTGTCGCTTGAGCCCATGATGACATGTCTGGGACTCTGGGAGGATCACGAACAGATCCTGCCACTCCTCTGCAGGACTACTACTATCGTGGCTTTTGATTTTATTATTTTGAATGGCATGTTGCGCATCCCTCTCGTCCTCAGATGTTACTCAATGCCTTAAAAAGAGAAGAAAACAAATGGATGTCTAGCTTTCACTTTGTGTGTGTGTGTGTGTCAACAGTTGGGATTTTTCTTTCTTTTTGTCTCCAAAATTTGGATCAAAAGATTGACCAATAAGTAGATGTTTACTTTATTTTGTTGTTTAAACTTGTACCCCCGCCTGTTTAGCGGACAAGCCACGACTTGGCGTCTTCCCACAAGACGCCAGGGTGAAAAACGTTTTGTAAATCTGACCGGCTCGCATCATTTTGTTCTCCCTAGCCCAGAACCCGGGGGGGGGCCCACCTGGGAGGAGGAGGAGGTCTTTGAAGCGAGCACAGAGCGCGTGGTATTCACAGGTCTTCATCGTGTTCACGTCCGCAGGTGGTGTCCAACACACACTCTCCTTGATACCTGGGGGTAGGAGAAAGGGGTTAGAGGCAGGAATCGAGTCCAATCTCAAGAAAAGTCCGGTTTTTGGATAGCCGCGGCCAGAATTTCCCTGAAGCCAGGAAATCTGAGGCGTGATCATCGAAAAAGGCGTCTGACCTCTGGAGGCCCCCCCCCAAAAAAACAAGAGAAGAACCAAGCATGGCTAGGACAGGATCACAAGGAGAGAATGCACCCCATCTGGTCCCCAGGACCACCGGTGTGGCCACAGAGGAGGAGGAGGAGGAGGAGGCCAAACAGGAACAAACCGCCCAAACTGCATTTACAAGCCAGAGGGAAAAACCAGCAACGCTCTGAATTGGCACGCGGTCTCAGAAAAGAGCTTCAAGAAGGGGAAGAGGAGCAAAAAGGCACCGCTCCAAAGACCAGGGAGTGAGCGAAACAGGACGCGGGCTTACCGTCCACCATGTCGGCCTTCTCCATGTCACCCTGGGCGTGGGGATCGGTGCCCTCGCTTCCTACCGCGGGAGTGTCATTGGTCACGATGGTCACCTAGGAGGAGCAAAGGCAGTCGTGGGGGAAGAAAGAACCACCACCGCAACGAGGGCAGAAGAACCTCAGGAAAGCGCAGACGGGTTCAAGGCCACTGGGCCGAAAGTAGCAATAGCCAAGTTTTCTCTTCATGCAAATGCAGAAGACTCATCAGCAGCAGCAGCAGCAGCTGTGACAGCTACTAAGGAAGATGGCTTTACAAAAAGAATTCAAGCTCATCCATGAGAGGGCGTCCTTTGGCAGCCACGACAAGCCCTCTGGCAGTTTTCTGGTGTAGACGACCTTCCACCGGGTGGGTGAGTGGGTGGATGTGTGATGCACAAAGCAAGCCATGTCTCCCCGCTCCCCCGGTGTCATTTTTTAAAGGCCGCCAGGAGGTACCAAGCCGGTTATTGTGGGAAGCAAGATGAAATGGGTTTTTTTATCCTGATTCATTTTCGGGGGGGAGGGGGGAGGGCGGGCAGAGGTAGAAAGAAAACATCTGGACAGAGGTCATCCTGGTAGGCTTCCCGTGCTGGAACCCTGACAAAGCAAGCCTTTCAGGGCAAAAAAGAGCGATGGGAGTTTGGGGAGAGAATAAGCAGGAAAAGCGCCCCCCCCCGTGATCTCCTCCCTTGGAGGAACGGCAGAAGAAAAGCTGGGCCAGTCCCCTACCAGAGGAGGCGCCAGCCCCTCAGGCCCCCCACCTTCACCACCACCCCCAATCCCGATGGGGCTCACCTGTTCGCACTGCCCGTAGAGGTCGATGAGGACGTAGCAAAGGTTCGGGACGTCCTGCACGGCCACGCCCTGGTCCATCCCGTTGACGTAGAGGTGAAGGCAGCTGCTGGCGTCCACCAGGAGGCCCAGCACCGTCCCTTCGGGGCAGGTGTCAAGGTTGGGGCCGTAGTTTTCACAGATCTTACAGAGAAGAGAAAGGGGATAGCCACGTTCAGGTTCTGCCCGGGAACGGCAGAGACCTCTCTGGGCGTGTGTTTCCGTGAGCCTCCCCCTCCCCCCCGTCCAGGAGTAATGCTGATGGGTGTAAGCAACAGGATTTGGGTTCTGCCGTACTTGAGTGAGGCCACCTTCCCCGGTGGCTTGGCGGCGGGAAGCACGTTACAAGCCAGGGGGCATTGGGGAGGTGAAGAGCCCCGTGGGCTGACGGGCATCGTTCCCTCGCTGCTGCTCTCACCTTGAGGGAGTTGTGGAAGATGGAGTCTCGCTGCAGCAGCCAGGTGGAGCGCTTGAGGGAGCAGGCCGTGGCGGGGAAATTGAGCCGCTCGGGAGAACTGCCGATGACCCCGAGGGACAGCGAAGAAGTCCACTGCGGATTCAGGGAATCGATCTGGAACTGGAGCAGAAGGACGGGACATGAGCCAAGGACGAATTGTCCCGAGAGAGAGAGACAGAGGAGGGAAAACGGCTGGAATAAGGGCAGGACCACAAATGACCGGCATGAACGGAGTGCTGGGTGCTGTCTTTTCTGGATCTACGTGTAGATTGGTGCTCTACTACACAACACAAGATGGAGTGCTGGGTGCTGTCTTTTCTAGATCTACATGTAGATTGGTGCTCTACTACACAACACAAGATGCCAGGCCAAATGGGAGGTGGCCAGATCGAACGGGGCCACCCGGCTCACCCTACCTGGAAGAGCTGCTGCTGAGGCAAAGGCTGGGCCACGACCACGATGCCCTGGTTGTAGCTGGAGACCCGGGTGGCGGTCCGGTTACCGTTGGAGAGGAGAATGTTCTTGCCGTGGTTCTCGAGGAACTCCATGGAGGAGGCCACAGCCGGCACTTCATTCTCACACTGAGGGAGAGGGAGAGGAAGGCCAGTCAGAATGAAAAGGGCCAGGCAGGTCTCGGGATGGGCCGGGCCTGGTTCTGAGTCACTCACAGGGGTGGCTTCCTCTTCCTCCTCCTCCTCTTCGCTGCAGGGCTCGGAGGTGACGGAGGGCGGTTTGGTCCCGTCTGCCTCTTCCAGCATGGTGGAGCTGACAATGGAGACGGACGTGACCCGGCCGTAGAGATCCAGCACCACGTAGACGTTCTGCAGTCGGGCAGAAGCAGGCAGCATTGAAGGGAAGGGAAGAGTGGTTTGGAAGGATCCCGCTTTTTCTCCCACCCCCCCAAACCGTGCTCTTTGGCCCCTGTGGACAAAGCTTGGAGAAGCTGCTTAGAGGAATGCAGACTGGGGATTTGGGACTATGACTCCCAGAATGCCCTGGGAATTCTGGGGGTTGTAGTCCAAACCTTCCAATCTTCACACTGACGGCTCTCTCCTCCATCCATGCCTCTAATCCCGTTCTGAAGCCACCCAACGCCGGCAGTCGTTCTCTGCCCAGCGGAGGGGAGGCCTCCAGCAGTGCTGCGGGAACCAGAAGCTTGCCCCACCTGTTGCCCCAATTCTCTCGCCATTCGGCTTCCCTGGATGAACCCCCTCAGATGCCATCTTACAAGAAAGAGCAGACAGGTTTTCCTGGGCTCTCTCCCCCCCCTTGCAGGTATCCAGCAGACAATGAAAGGGGGCAGACCATCGGCCCGAGGGTTCCCCGCCTCACCTTGGCCACGCCCGTGGCTGCCGGCCCCATGTCCTCCCCATCGATCAAAACGTGCATGGTGTCATCTGTGCACCGTTTCACACCTATGCGGCTCCCGACCTGGTGAGACAGGGAGGGTCATCGTACAAGCATCTCCGGCTTATGGTTGGTGTATGTTTATGTGTCAGTGCTTGGAGGGTTCTGTACAGAGGCCCCTGGCCCCTTTCAACCCACAAATGCTCCATGCACTCCTCACCCCCATGGAATTCTGTGACAACAGACCCGCAAACGAGTAGAAATGGGGGATTTGACTTTGTTGCCGAAGACAAATCCCACTGGCACTGGGGGATGGCCTGAATACCTCCTGCCCCAGAACCCGCCACCAGTCCTCTTACTGTGCGGGGCAAGGGGTCTGCAGTGTACCCAGCGTGACGACAACCCAGCAGCCACAGCCCTGCCTCCCTGGTCGCCCGGCCATTCTGCGGCTGAGCTGGGAGACTTGTCATCCCCCTGCATCTTGTTGGAGTGGCTGGGTGCCCACTGGCAGTGGGGGATAGCCTGAATACCTCCTGCCCCAGAACCCGCCACCAGTCCTCTTACTGTGCGGGGCAAGGGGTCTGCAGTGTACCCAGCGTGGCGATAGCCCAGCAGCCACAGCCCTGCCTCCCTGCTCACCTGGCCACTCTTGTGGCTGAGCTGGGAGACTTGTCATCCCCCCTGCATCTTGTTGGAGTGGCTGGGTGGACAGGGAGGCTGTGGTGGCCGAGCTATGGCCACAACTGGCACAATGAGGCTGGACAAGCACACCACATAGTCGCACGATAAGTGGGCCAGTGGGTTCTGGGGGTGGGAAGTCATTGGCCCAGCCTCCCTGTGCCGACGGGACTTCTCTTCGTAGACAGAGACGAATCCCCCGTCTCTACTTAGGACAAAATCATGCATGCACAGGGGACTTTCCAGTTGCTGAAATCCCGAGTAAATAACAAGCAATAAGAGTCCTCTTAAAAGGGGCCAGACTGGGGAAGGAGACCACTCGCCCACCGGGCCACGAGGCTCGGGCCGCCTTCTCCACTCACCCCAAGGCGTTCCAGGGAGCAGCCGTAGTTCTGCTTCTGCAGGAGGCCGTTGCGCCTCACCTCGGAGCCCGTCACCAGCCACGTCACCTTGGAACGCAACTCCAGGACCGAGGCCGGCAGGCCTGTGACGGGGAAGGGGGCGTCCGAGGGCAGCAGGGTGGTCAAGCCCACATGAACGGATCCGGACCACTTTTCGTCCAGGTCGTCTATCTTGACCTAGGAGGAGAAAGACCAGGTGGTTGGGTGGTGGAAGAGGGGAGAAGGGATTCAAGGGCATAAAACGCACAGACCTTCAGAGCGGAATAAAATGGGAGGATATCAATGAAAGATGGAATGGGAAACCCTGTCTTGCTGAAATTCTTTATCCTGTGTATGCCTGTGCGGCTGGGCGCGCACGCTGTAGCGGCACCCGTTTGGCAGTGCCGCTCACACAGAGGCACACACCGCTGTGAAGCAGCTCGGCAAGACCGGCTTGGCGACAGCCAAGAGTGGCTTTCTGGGACCACAAGAGAGGCTCCTGACACCCTGAAGACCCCCAGCTCGTTTTACTGGCCCAAAGGCTTCCCAGACTGGAGGCCAAAGGTCTTCAGAGACACTCTACAGAAGCAGAGATGGGCACCAAACCTCAGGCTTCTGCCAGTTCGTACACACGGCACCAGAGGGTGCCCTGAGTTTCCTTCCCCTGCCTCCCCAAGCTGGATCCCCCCCACTCACCAGCCAGCACATGTGCCTCTCCTCCTCCTCCTCCTCTTTGGGTGTTCAGCCAGTCCCCAGCAGGAGCTTGGGCTTCCCTGCCTCACCTCCTTGGCCGACCACCCACTCAAAGAAGGAGGCGTCCGTGCTCCTGCTGGGGACCGGCTGAACAGATGAAGAGGAGGAGGAGGAATAGTGGAGGAGCGCCTTCCAACTGGTGAGTGGGAGGAGAGGGAAATAGATCAAAGACTTTATTCGTTTTGTTGGCTAGGCACCCCCGCCTTCACCCCCTTCACCTCGAAAATTTCATCCGTCTTTAACTCCTTCATACTGAAGACGATGCCGTGGCAGTAGCCGGCCACTCGCACGGCGCGGCACCCGTCATCCTGGAAAGCCACGTTCTTGCCGCAGGTGCTGTGGAAACGGTGGGCCACCCCGGGCACTGGAAAAGGAGGGGAAACAGGGGCACAGGAAGCTGAGCTTGGGAAGAACAAATAAACGGCTGCTTCCCCAGTCAAAGGGAGGAAAGCCAAGGATTCTACGCCGTCTCCCGGCCATGCAAGGCAGATTTTGTCTCCTGGTGGAACAATGGATGGACAAACTGCAGGCCATGAACTGTGCAGAAAGGTTCGGCGGGTACACGGAGCTTTTCTGCAGGGGCTCCGTCCCCCACGGAGCCTCCCAGGAGAAGAAGCCACAGAGATCACCTGGGTTGCAGGGTCAGCATTCATGTGCCTCGCCTCGTGCATGGCCACGGGCAAGCCACACCGCGGTTCCGGAGCGTCACCAGACGGCAAACCTGGTGGCACTCTGGGAACACGGTGCAACTTGAGAGAAACTACTTTTGAATACAGTTGGAACCCCCTTTATCCGTGGGATCCATATCTGCGGATTCACTTATCCACGGCCTGAAAATATTAAAAATATTAAAAGAAAACAAAATCCTAGAAATATGTACAGTGGTGCCTCGCATAGCGAGGTTAATCCGTTCCGGATTAAACATTGTTTAATGCGTTCCAAATGGGCCGAAAACTCACCGTTCAGCAATGTTTTCTTATGGCCGGCAGCCATTTCCTATGGCCTGCAGCCATTTTCGCACCCTCCCCAAGGGCACGAAAACGCTGCACGCGGCCATTTTGGGGCTTCCGGAGGCCATTTTGGAGCCGCCGAACAGCTGATCCGCGGGTCGCAAAGCGAAGGTCGGTAAGCGAAACACTTACCGACCTTCGCTATCCGAGTTTCGCCCATTGGGGCGTGATCTCCTCCCTTGGAGGAACGGCAGACACTTTTGAATACAGTTGGGACCCCCTTTATCCGTGGGATCCATATCCGCGGAATCACTTATCCACAGCCTGAAAATAATAAAAATATTAAAAGAAAACAAAATCCCAGAAATATGTATTTCTAAAGATGAAGTTATTAGAACTGATCACTAGAGGGAGGCAGAAACCACGCTAGGGAGAGCATTTGTGTATATAATCCACGTTCCCTAGCATCTGTGGGGGACCTGGAACTGATCTGCCGTGGATACAGGAGTCCCGCTGTACTTCATACCTTAAAAAAAATAAAAACCCTGGCAGGGGCTGCAGCAAGTCAGATTCCACTTAATGGTACATAATTATCCATTGTTCTGAAGACCATGGTCCTCCTCCCCCATTAAAAAGCATTAACCCGAAGGCATTCAAGAAAGAGACAATCACCTGGCAGAGATGTTTTGATGGCATTCCTGTCCTGAGCGGGGGTGGGGGTGGGTGGGTTGGACTTGATGGCCTTGTAGGCCCCTTCCAACCTCACTTTTCTATGCTTTCTATAGATTCTTCTGTACTTTTCACTGATATCACTATGGCTTGGAACGTAATGATGGTTCAGCACAGTATGTGCCTTCGTGGTAGCATAAAGACTGCAGGGTGAGACGGACAAGGGGTTGTCCCGCCTCACTCGAGAGTGGAAGGAACTTCATGCCACTCCCGAGTGCAAAGCTGTCTGCCATCAGAGCCACTTTCCATCAGGTTTTGCTGCTTTATTTGGTCCTATTACACCTGGCGCATCATGTGACCATATAAACCTTCTCAGCTGCAGTAGACGCTGTTCCAAGTCCTCCAGACAGAGCATGTTCCCATCGTCTCTCAAGACTGAAGGAGGCCTAATGTAATCTAACACTTGATGTGTATACCTGGCCCAGAACTAAATAACCTATGTATTTTGTGTTTTTTAATTTCTCTCTCTCTCTCTCCTTTTTTCTCCCCTTAAATTTTTGATTTAAAGCCGAGTTAAAAGAAAGGAAGTCAATTGGAGTGTGTGTGTGTGTGTGTGTGTGTATCACACATGCACAGAATCTTGTTCCTCTCACCTGGCGAATGGATTGGGAACGACTTCTCCGTGATGCATTGGAGCCGGGATTAAAAGAGTGTGTGCGTGTGTGTGTGTGTGGGGGATCACACACGCACAGAATCTTGTTCATCTCACCTGGTGAATGGATTGGGAACGACTTCTCCGTGATGTTGCTGGTGGACAAGCTGTTGTCCATGGGCCCGGTGGCACTGGTGATGGACACCTGCACACACTGGCCGTACAGATCGACCACGGCGTAGACCTCTGGAATGGGCGCGATAAAAAAAGGAAATGAAGGACAGCAACCCAAGGGTACACGGTGGGGGAGAAAGAGATCGGGCGAGGGCGAGACACAGGAGGCCACCGATGGGTCCCACCAAACCCCTCCACAAATTCGGTCTAATCCGGGCCCACCTCGATTTGCTTGCAAAACCCCCCACCCGCGCAACGTCTTGGCTGGCCAGGTTCAAGAAAAGGTCTTCCCAAGAGACGCTGGCACGCCAAGTCGTTCCAGGGAGCCTCGTCTGTTCTCTGTTCCAGCCTCCCAAGTGGGCTGACGGATGTTTGCAAGGGTTCCCTGCAGCCTCCGGGCAAGGTTCCTTCCTAGCCTCCGACAGTCACCCCCCCCCCCGGGGTTAGCCAGTCTTCAGATGGAGAGGGTGTCCAACCGACTGAGCCCCTTCTGTTGGAAAACGTAGCTTTGTGGGATTCTGGCTCTGAGAATCTTCACCTGCGACACAGCCGGGTCGGGTGGGGGGATTCCGGGTGCTGGAGGCCAAGAAGGCAACTTCTCCCTGACTTGGGTTAAGTCTTTCTCAATACCGCCTTCATCATCCTTCTAAAATCCATTCACCAAAGCGGTCACTGGGCAGGACGCTACCTCAGTGGGCCACACAGTGTTCCCCCTTCCCTCTCCAATTCTGGAACCCAATTGTCTTAGAACTACGGAGTTGGGAGGGACCTTCTGGGTCACCGAGTCCGCTCCTCCCCCCCGACAAAGAGGCACAGCAGGGAATTTGAACGCCCAACTTCCGGCTCTGCAGCCGAAGACCTGAACCTCTGAGCTATCCAGCCGTCTGTACCTTATATTGCACTCACAATTTTTGTAACACTTCTGTTGGTTCTGTCCCTGAGGAGTCCTGGCTAGTTTCCTTGAATAAAGAGCTTAACACACTCAGGCGTCCCTCCTTAAATTCTTCAGACCATCTTTAAAGATGGCAGCCTTTTCAGAACCACCCTTTTAACCCCACCCTGTTCGTCAGTTTGAAAACCTCGGGAAGCGGGTGGTCACTTCCAAAATCCAGTGGCTGGATGGCTGGATGGCTGGTTGGGGATCCTTAAAGAGTCCCAAAGCAGTGCTTCCCCCATTTGCAAGCTCTGTCCCCTTCATAAGGTTATGCCCTCCACTCCGTGAACGGCCGCTACATCTCTGTGACCTGCCCGTGATTTCACAGGGACTTGTCCCTCCAAGAAGGGATGGGCTCACCGGGTCTGCCGACCACTAGCTCTTCTTATCCCCTTCCCATCCCTAGCCGCTGCATTCCTCTCTCTCTCTCTCTCTGTATTTCCTTACCCTTCCCGGGAGGTAAGCCAGAGCAGGCCACCCCCTGGTCGACGCCGTTGATGAAATAGTGGAGGTCCCCCTTGGCCGTGCGCATCATTCCAATGCGCGACCCCGTGGTCAGCGAATCCAAGTCGCAGCCGTAATTGTTGCGCATGGTGTTCCCGTCTTGCATGATGGCCGTGCCACTAGAAAGGAAAGCGAGAAAGGTGGCTACTTAGGGCATCGCTTCCTTCTTCTCGAGTTCTTGGGTGATTATTTACGCATAGCCCGTTTCGCTCCTAGAATCGGAACCCGAGCGGCTTCCAGAATCATTGACAGACAACTCAAACGGTAATGACGTTATGAGATCAAAAAACGATCATGCCTTTTGGTCTGTTAAATATTGAATGGAATAATTTAGAACACTTTAAGACTGTGTCCCGGAGAGGGGGGAAAAGGTACAGCCCTCGAAGGCAGTCCAACCATCCAGGCTGGAGGGAAATCCAGCGCTTGAGCCGTTCCAAGGTTCTCTCCTTGCAATCCCCGTTCCTGGAGGAAATGGCCAAGGCCTCCTCCTCCTTTCCTCCCACGACGGACGTGTGCTCATCTGTCTTCCCTCCTTGCACACCTCGTGAGCCCATCTTCCCGTGATTCTGTTCTTCTCTACATGCCGAGTTATCTGACAGAGAGGAACCCTTGACAGCCTCACTTCCTCATCAGCACCCTGTGGTACAGCAGTTTCTAATCTTGGGTCTCCACCACCAGATGTTCCTGGACTACAACTCCCAGAAGACTTCCCCACGAGCGGATTCCTGGCCAGGAGGATCTCTGGGAGCTGCAGTCCAAGAACCTCTTGGGACCCGAGCCTGGAAATTGTCGCTGTTGTCATCTTACGCAGGAAAACGCTCTCTCTCCCTCCGATTCCGAGTCTGGTTCTTACGGCCCGATTCTCAGATGGGCTTCTCCTGACCACCCTACCCGCACCATCGCCATTCACCTGAGCATCCAGGTATCGTAATCGATGTCGGTCATGGTGTTTGGGAACTCCAGGTCTTCAGGACGGATGGCAGTAACACCTGGACAGGGAAGGACGGAAGATGGGGCTCTAAGACACCGTCTCTCAAGCCTGCTCAACTAATGGCCCAGGACCATCTCACGCCTCCCTTCAGGGGCGCCTTCCTCCCCACTAACTCTGAAAATCTGAAACACCTTGACTTGGATCAGGAGGAACGGAACAGCGCTGCCTAGCCCACGCTTCCTCCCGCACACGGCCCCTGGGGAAGGGCACTTCTCATGCCAGAGTCACAGGTGCACATGTGCCTGGTGCCACCCGCCAGGCAATCGAGATTGCACCACAACTCAGCAAGAAGGTAAAGTTCTGCTAAGAGGTGCCCCACAGGACCAGCTGAACTGGGGAAAAAAATCTCCAACGTGTGAGGAGATCCACGTCTTTCCTTTTGTGACCCTGCGCGATGCTGCAAACCCTCCCACTATCTATGGAAAAGAAATATGTTGGTTTTTCTGCCTGCATCCTTATTCGCGTAGCAGAAGCCCGTCGGGATTCTGGCTGGACCCAAGTGCCAAGGAGCAAAATTCTTCCCTCTGCTTTATAAAACAGAATCCTTGTAAGTATGTTTTCTACACAGTACAGATTTCCCCTGAAATCTTGACAGGCTCACCCTGGAGTGAGTGAGTGAGGGAGATGCCCCTCGGCTGAGCATCTCTGCCTCACTTCCTCCATGGCTCACCTGCTTCGATTGACCCAGACCAGCGATCCACCATCTTCTGAATGATGATTTCAAAGAGTTCCCCATCTCGGAGAGGCCTGTCGGGGAAACAAAGGGGGAAACCTTTCTTTTTTAATTCAAAAAAAGTCCCATTGTTGATGGATATGAACCTTTAGAATGCAACTGGGCCTCATCTGGGACACACACACACTCTCTCTTTTTTGTAAGTGGGGCTTCCTACAACGTTTAATCAAAAGTGATCCCCCCCCCCCAGTCTACATCTCCTAGAATGCCTCAGGGACCAGGTGTCACTTTTTCCAACTCTGCTCATTTCCCATGCTTCTCAATATCAGACTAGCCAAATTGCTGGAAAGCTGCGATTTCAGGATGCATTAACAGACGTATAGTCCCCAAATCCCGCGAAGGGCTAGGCCCCCTCTGTGCGGGACTGGTTAGGCCTCCTCTTGAGTCCTGTGTCCAGTTCTGGACACTGCACTTCAAGAACAATGCTGATAAAACTTGAGCAAGTTCAGAGGAGGATCACGGGGCTGGAACGCAAGCCCTAGGCAGGAGGAAAAGACGGAAGGAATTGGGCCTGCTTAGCCTTGAGAAAACAAGACGGAGAGGAGACAGGAGAGCACTTTTCAAGAACTTCAAAGGCTGTCCTACAGAGGAGGGCCTGGATCTGTTCTCCATCATCCCAGAGTGATCATAGGCTCAAGCAACAGGAAGCCAGATCTTGGCTGACTGTCAGGAAAAAAAAGTCTCCTCGGTACGACAAGGGAACCTATGACCTCAGGAGGTGACAAGCGCACCAATGTTGGAGGCATTCAAGAGAAGTTTAGCCAGCCGTCTGTCCGATCTGCTTTGGTTCCGGTTCCTGCCTTGAGCTGTGGGGTTGGGTTTGATGGCCTTAGAGGGCCCCCTTCCCACTCCACGATTCTTCGGTGGCCTCAAGTTCTAGGATTCCAGGAGAGAACTTGACAACATCTGACTGCAATCCCTACGACGTGCATGAGCTGTCTGGTGTCCCCACCCTCCCCGAGGTTCACTGACCGGTTTGAGATAACGATGGCATCGTTGAACTCGCTCCGGCAGTTCTGCCGCAGTGCTGTGCGCCCGCCGTTGGTAATGACGGCGTTGTTGCCGTGAAGGTGGTGGAAACGCAGGTCGCTCCCGGAGGCGATGGAGGAAGGACTGCTGGGAGACAGCTGGTTGTTTCCTTCCGAGAGGTCATCAGGAAGTGGAAGGAGGTCTGCGGAAGAGGAAACGTGGGATAAGTCACCCAAGGACATACCTGAGCCCTCTCCCCCCTCCTGATGCTTGGATTTATGCTTTTTGCAAGACCCTTGGGTGGGAAGGAAAGGTGGCGATGTACAAGGGAGGGACTTGGCCTCATGTTCTTTGCTAAGCGCTCTGTGTGCAAGAAGAGGGGTATCTTGCAATCATAACAATGACTGAACCATAAAGAGCACCATAGAGATGTCACCCAGAAACAGCATTATTTCTAGGCGCTCGCTGTTATGGAAGACGTCATATAGCACAGTGATTTCGCTCCACACAAGTATAGGTTTGTACGATGGCAACAAACAGGCTATGCCCATTCAGAGCGACGTATTGAAGGAGCAGACAAAATCTTCAGCTATGGACACAGGAACCATTAGAAAAATGACCTAGATGAATCGTCAGTCTTTTTATGCTAAAAGCAAAACACAAAAATACATCGTGTTCCAAGATCTGAATGCAAAGAAAAATAATGTGATTATAAAAACAACTGTCTATGCATACTGGCAGCCAGTATAGTACGCATAGTGGATAACGTGAGGGACTGGGGGATTCAGGAGACCCGGGTTCAAATTTTTGTTTGTCCATGGAAACTCAGGTAAGGGGGCTGATAATAAACTGATCCTTGAACATCTCATGTTGTTTGAAAACCCTACCAGGGTTGCCCTAGGTTGGAAGGAAATTCATGGCACATAAACAAACAAACGAGTATATGTATGAACGTACAGAACAGCATTATATGTATTTGCTGTTGCTTTTGTTTATGTTTTTAATAGTGTGGTATTTACTTGATCCTTCTCAATATCTGTATACTTACTATTTTTAACTTTTAAATATTGTCTTTTAATGGTGTCAGGAAAAGGTGGGGTAAACCTTATTTAAGTAACTCAATTATTCTATGATTCTCCTTTGATCTGGAGCAGGGGGTTAGACTTCACGGCCTTATAGGCCCCTTCCAACTTCATTATTCTAGGATTCTGTCGTATGAATGAATGAATGAATGAATGAATGAATATTTTTTTTCTTTGTGCCTGGCCTAGCCTAAAAACAGCCTCTTGTGTTCTTCAACCCCTGAATTCTAGAAGAAGTGGAATTCCACCGGCAAGAGAACCAAACCCCTCATCTACTTCCTGCACCCTCTGCCCCGTGCCATGGCCCAGTGAAATGTATCCCTCTGCCTCCCCGTCACCCACTGACCTGTGTCGTCCATGATGGTGGCTTGGGCCGCCTGCCCGTACAGATCCACGACGGCATAGACGTTGGGCGGGACGTTCCAGGCGGCTGGGCCCTGAGCCACCCCGTTCACAAAGAAGTGCAACGTCCCGTCCTCCTTGCGCACCACGCCCACCGTGTCGCCCGCCTGAAAGAGCAGGGAAAGGAGAAATGAGAAATCAAAAGTGGAGGAGTGAACGGTGGACCTGGCTCGGCTTCCAGAAGGGCCCTCCAAAACCTCGGCGTAGCGCGAGAAGGGGGCACAAAGCCCCTTTCCCTCCAAGCTTGGACCGGTGACCTTTTTTGAACGCTACCAGCCATGCTGCCTAAGGGATGCTGGAAGATACTGTCTAGACGAGTCTCTGTTCCCCCATCCTCTGAGCCTCTGGGTGGCCTGAAAGGTGGCCCGCCCAGGCCTGGGCTTGCTCTGCTCTGCTCCGATGCCCATTCTCTTCAAAATGACCTGCACGGCTCTTCACCTCTGGCTGCCCACCGCCTTCTCCCACCACCTCCTCGCCGCCTTCCTCAAACACAGCTCCGTCCATGCGGGGGGACCACGTTTGAGCTGGTGGACCTTCGCCTCCCCTCCCTCCTCCAGCCACACGGTGGTTTGCCCATCGCTGCCCAGAGTGGCCAAGAAGGTCTCAGACTTGCCTTCAGACGGTCCAGGTTGTGGCCGTATTCGTCCAGGATGGTCGTTCCGTTGTGCATCACCCCGTTCCCAGTCATCATCCAGGTCCCTGGGGGTATAGGGGGAGGGAGGAGGGAAAGAGGCTGAGGATCTGGGCGGGGGTGAGGCTGGTGCATGGGTTCCAGACATGCATGCTAACCCAGCTCTCCTCCCGAGGAGCTGGATTGCAAATCCCAGAATCTCCTAGATACGATGCCTGGAGGATTCTGGGAGTTCCAGTCCAGCACATGGGGAGGAGGCCTGATCCGGGAGACCTGACACACGAAGGTGATGGTAAAGCTGCTCCCAAGGTAACCACTGGGAGGTAGAAGTGAGACACAGGGCAGGGTGGCGGGTCTCACCTGACCGCAGGTTGGTCATGGTGGAAGGCAGCTGCAGGTACGTTGGGTTGTGGGTGGTGACGCCGATCTCAATGGAGCCGGCCCATTTGTCTACCATCTTGTCAATCCGGACCTGGAAGACCTCGCCATTGCGTAGCGGCCGGTTGCTCAGGACCACGCCGTGGTTGAAATCGTCTGTGGCGCTGCGTGGGGTGGAGACAGGAGAGCCCAGTTATTGATCAGGGTATACTTCTGCGAGGCAGGTAAATGGATTACTATTATTAGTTTTATTTGTATGCTGCATTTCTCCCAACAAGGGACCCCAAGCGGCTTAACAACATTAAAATTCACACCATTTAAAAAACACAGTAAGTTAAATATTAAAAGATAAACAATATGTGATTTAAAAATTAAACTAAGATTAAAACATGGAAAAGATTTAAATTATCTGCTGAAATAGGGGTTCAGGGATTCAGTTATGATTGTTAAAAGCCTTCCTGAAGAGATGGGCCTTTAGCTTTTTTTGGAAGGATCACAGGGAAGGGGCCATTCCTGATCTCCCAAGGGAGAGCGTGCCATTGCCTGGGAGCTGCCCCCGAGAAGGCCCTCTGCCGGGTCCCCATCCGCTGGGCTTGGGCTGGCCATGGGACCGAGAGGAGGGCCTCCTTTGCGGATCTTAATGGCCACGAAGGCCCCTGTAAGGAGAATACGGTCCTTCAGGGAGCCTGGACCCAAGCGGTGGAGGACTTTAGAGATTAACAACCAGCCCTTTGAATTGGGCCTGGAAACGGACGGGTAGCCAATGCGGTTCTTATGACCGGGGCATCCTAGTCTCCCTGTCGCTGGCCCCAGTCAGTCGCCTGGCTGCAGAGTTTTGCACCAGCTGAAGTTTCCGAACCGTCTTCAAAGGCAGCCCCACATACAGCGTGTTACAGTAATCCAAATGGGATGGAACTAAGGCATGTGTCACTGTAGCCAGATCAATCTAGGGTGAAGAATCAGGGTGTTTTCTTGAGTGTCTTTGAACTACAACTCCCACACCTCCCAGGCAGCACCTCCCAGACCCAGGCTGAAACTCCCAGAATTCTGACTGTGCTACGTGGTTTTCATTTCCTTTATGTAGGAAAAAGCCTTTATGTAGTTTTTACTTCACTAGCGCCCTTCTCCATTCAACTGCATGTTTAACCCTGATAACCATTTTGTTTTAACCTGCTGCACTAGCTCCTTTGGCAAGAGTCCCATCTGCTTTCACATAAGGCCTGCACTATGGCTAATTACAGTAAATTTACGAAGTGCTAGGGTGTGTATCTGTTCCGTGACTGAGATGCACCCTGGCAATCATCCATTAGCTGGGGGTAAGTCACCCCAAACCTGACACGAACAGCAACAGGCTAATGTTCCCTGTTCTGCTCTTGCTTGGAGACAAGAGGAAAAAAGACAGGATGGAGAGAAAACTGGACAGACAGACATGATTCACAGCATCTGGAAGTCAGAAGAACAAAAAAACACACAAAGGGGTGGGAGTCACTGGTCCCAAGACATTTAGGAAGGCACACAGGTTTTTGGAAAAGGAGCTTTCCTGGACCACATCTCCCAAACCAACTGAAATCTAGAAGGTTTCTGAAGGGCTCCAGAGAGAATGAACTTCAGTCCAGAAGGCCTGAGGTTTCTCCTCTAAATCCATCAAGAATGTGCTGGATCCCTCAAAGGCACCTACTGGGGCCGCAGGGCCGTCCGTCCCTCGTTGATGATGGCGGCTTTCTGCCCGCAATTCGGATGGAAGAGAAGGCGTTCCGGCTCCGGCTCGTTCCCCCCAGCATCGATGGCGCGGCGCCCGACGTCGGGCGAGAGGGCTCTCAGGATGGCGTTGTTGCGCCGCAGGCGGTCGCTGTGGTTGTGGTTGTGCACGATGGTGACCTTCACGGCCATGCCGTAAAGGTCCACCACCCCGTAGACCACGAGTGGGGTAAGGGTGGTGGCCACGCCTGGAAGGGGAAGCGGGGAAGCCCAGGGAATTAACATACATAGCCCTACAGACCAGAGATGGTGAAAAGCCACATGGCTTCTTTCACTTTGAATTTGGTCACCTTCTGCTTCTTCATAAAATAGGTGAGTTGGAAGGGGCCACGAAGACCATTCAGTCCAACCCCCCGGCTCAAGACAGGAATCCAATCAAAGCAGATCGGACAGAGGGTGCTCCGGTTTTCTCTTGAGGGCCTCCGGTGTTGGAGCAGCGCTCACCACCTCCAGAGGTAACAGATTCAACTGTTGTACTACTCTAACAGTTAAGAAGTTTTTCCTGAGATTCAGGTGAAATCTGGCTTCCTGTACCTTGAGCCCATGGTTGCGTATCCTGCACTCTGGGATGATGGGGAAAAGATCCTGCCCTCCTCTGTAGGACTGCCTTTCAAGTATCTGAAAAGCTCTGTCCTCTCTCCCCTCCACCTGCCCAGTTCTTTCCATCTTTCCTCCTAGGGCTTGATTTCCAGCCCTCTGATCCTCCTGGTTGCCTTCCTCTGAACTAGTTCCAATTTGTCAGCATCCTTCTTAAAGTTCAGTGTCCACAACAGGACACAGGACTCTAGATGAGGCCTAACCAGTGCTGAATAGAGGAAAGGGTAGTACCTCACAGAATTTGGAGACTATACTTCTGTTAGGTAAAGGTAAAAGTTCCCCTTGACATTTAGTCCAGTCGTGTCCGACTCTATGGCACAGTGCTCATCCCCATTTCCAAGCCATAGCACCAGTGTTTGTCTGTACACAGTTTCTGTGGTCATGTAGTCAGTGCGACTAGACACGGAACGGCGTTACCTTCCCAATGAGGTGGTACCTATTTATCTACTCGCATTTTTACATGCTTTTGAACTGCTAGGTTGGCAGGAGCTGGGACAAGTGATGGGGGCTCACTCCGTCACGTGGATTCGATGTTACGACTGCTGGTCTTCTGGCCTTCCAGCACCGAAGCTTCTACAGTTTAGCCCACAGCGCCACCACGTCCCTTTTATGTTAGGTTGAGTGAAATACTTGCCTCAGGCAGCAGATGGTGGGAGGTGACATCAGGGTGTTGGAGAAGCGAGCTGTGTGCCAGGTGGCCTGTCCTGCAACCATTTAGCCAGCCTGCTACCTTCTGGTGTAAATAACAATACCCTATGCTTTTTACATGCTTCCAAACGGCTAAGTTGGCAGGAGCTGGGACAAGCGATGCGAGCTCCCTCTGTCGTGTGGATTCGATCTTACGACCGCTGGTCTTCTGCCCTTGCAGCACAGAGGCTTCTGCAGTTTAACCTGCAGCGCCACCCACGTCCCTATATATACTTTCTCTTAATGCAGCCTAAAATCGCATTGGTCTTTTTTGCAGCCACATCACCCTGCGGGCTCGTAATCAGCTTTTGTTCTACGACAATTCAAAGATCCTTCTCGCTTGTAGTATCACTGAGCCCAAGCATCCTCGCTCTTGTAACTGCATTTGTGTCCACCCCCCCCACATCCCCGTTCTTAATACTTTTATAAGATGCCTTTGCTTCTCATTTTAACTAAAAAATAGGATAGGAACTAAGTAAAGAAATGAAAGCATCAAACCCAGGAGCGCGCCAACCTTGGTCAATCCCGTTGATGTAAAAGTGTAGGGCGTTGTTGGATTTCCTGGTCAAGCCAATGTGATCTCCTTCCTGTGGAAGCAGAGATGGGGTGTGTGTGTGTTGGGGGAGGTTGCAATGAGAAGGAAAGGCGTCCCCCCCCACCCAAGGGCTAAAGGAAACCCAAGAAGCACGGGTGTGCTGCTCACCTGCAGCTCGTCCAGGCTGAATTCACAGTACTCCCGCCGTGTTCCCTTGCCGTTGGTCAAGATGCCGCACCCGCTCATCATGATGGTTCCTGGGGAAGGAAGAGGGTTCAACGGGGCCATGGCTTGGGACAGAGGGAAGCCGACGCTTCCCCAAGCATCAGACAGACAGCCCCGTGGGTCTGCCCTGTGATTCTCTCTGGACTGCAAGAGCCTGAACAGTCCTGGGCCTCAGCTTCGCCCACGTCCAACCAGCAGGGTTACCTGAGCGCAGGTTCGTCATCGTGGCCGGATACTCCAGGTTGTTGGGATTGTGTGTGGTGACCCCGATTTCTATGGAACCCGACCACTTATCCACCAATTTGTCAATTCGGATCTGTGGGAGGGAGGGTGGAAAAAGAGAGTCTCGTCATCTTGTCCTCGAGGGCACTCAAGACCCACCTTCACAGCCGCAGGAACGTTAGCGACAGGATACTCGTAGCTAACTTGTGGATTGATTGAGTGATTGATTGATTAGACTCGCAGAATCTTGCAGGGCTGTTTATTAAAAAAATAACATGGCAAGCTTTCACGATCACCCACAGGAAAAAAAGATTCTACCGCTGGTGGGCAGTAGGAATAAAACCTCATGAACCAGGTTAAGTTTTTTAAAAGAAGAAAACGACCTCTCTGGAGACGGGCAGACTTCTTTTCTCTGTAGAAGCTTGGGGTGGGTAGAAGGGTGTTCGTCTCTTACGGCTGCCGTTGAGAAGGACGCGGTTTTGAAACACACACGTTTTATAGGGCATCTATTTTTGTGGACTGGGACCTCCTGCTGCGCGCAAAGAACTGGGCCAGTCTTTAAGGTGGGCGTAAAGCTCCTTTCCCTTTTGTTAGCTGAAATGTCACGTGTACCTCCAAGGGGCATGAGAGGCCCGTTGGGATTTGAGCGGTTAGACACTAAAAAAGACACACAGTGGGCCTCCCATACATCTCCCTGATGCAAGTACATGTGCATCATTACCCAGTTTTGCCCAGACCTTGGAATAATTTTGTTTCAAAGGTTTCAGAGGACAGCTCTCAGAATCCTAGCCCCGGGGGGTGGTGGTGGTGGTTTTCCCAACCATTGCCAAGTAACTGTTCTCAGCGTTAGGTTCTTGTGCAGTCAAGACTTTTTGTGAGTGACGGTACTCTCAGTGGCCGATGGATATGGTCAGAACAAAATGCATCCACTTGCAACGTCATTTGGCAAGGCAGACCTGTTCTTTGACTGTGAACCCACATATCCCTACAGCAAATCCTAAAACAAGGAGATTCCCCAGGGTGAGGCATTACCACTGGGAGGAATTCACTTTGGACATAAACTGGGTTTTTTCCTCTCTTCTTGATTTTCTCTCTCAATTGCTGCTGCTCTTAACCTTGTTCAGTATTTGTTTTGCATTTAATTTAATCACCAGTCGTATTTTTCGGTGTATAAGACCCCCCCCACTTTTCTAACCCTTTTGCATTTAATTTAATTACCAGTCGTATTTTTCCGTGTATAAGAACCCCCCCCCCAGTTTTCTAACCCAAAATTAAGAAATCTAAGTGGGGCTTAGCAAGTGTAGGGGGAAAGGGATCAAAGCACTGCAGGATTGCTTTGATCTCTGCTTTCTCCCTTCGTGCTAAGCCCCACTGTATAAGACAACCCTCAATTTTTAGTCTAAAGATTTTAAACAAAAGTATAGTCTTACACATGGAAAAATACGGTAATTCAATGCACCTTAATATGTTGCTTTTATGTTCTGTAATGACTTGTGAAACACCCAGAGGGACCCACTGGTCAGTTGGGTGGTATATCAATCAATCAAACACAAACGACAAATAAATACATTTCTTACGTGTGCACAATATGCGTGCTGCAGCCTAGCGGCGGAGTGTCTCTTCTGTGTGCCAGAATTCCCAGTTCTGCCCCCTATCCCCCGGCCGCATCGCCAAGCAAGGCTGGGAAAATCTTAACACCTGGAAAGATCATCCCCACCCCACCATCTGGATCCCACAGAGCCAGGCAGCCCACTTCGCTTTCGCTCACCTCAAACATCTCGTTATCCCTCAGTGGGCGGTTGGTCATGACCACCCCGTTATTGAACTCGTCCAGCGGCCGCCGCCGCTCGGCTGTCTTGTTGTTGTTGCTGAGCTTGATGAGGGTCCCGCACTTCTCGTGGAAAAGGAGAGCGTCGTTGGAGGTCATGGGTGGGGCCGCGCAGGGACCGGAGTCGGGCGGCGGGCTGCCCAGGCTGACGTTGAGCAAGCTCCCGTTGTAGGCTGACAGGATGGCGTTGCTCACCACCTCGGACAGCTCCATGCTGGAGAAGCCTGCGAGGCCGGGCGGTGAAGAGCGGATGGGAGGAATAGAGTAAGAGAAAGAGTGAGAGGGCTGGTATTCCGAAGCACAGAGAGAGCCTGGCTCTCCTGTACACAGCCATAATTGTAGCCCATGGTGTTCCTGTCTTGCATGACAAACATGTCACTAGGAAGGAAAGCAGGAAAATGGATACTTAGGGCATCGCTTCCTTGTCTTTGAGTTCTTGGGTGATTATTTATGCGTAGCCCACTCCTCTCCTAGAACCGGAACCCGAGCGGCTTCCAGAATTGTTAACGGATTGGGAACCGACAATCCCATAACACTTGGGGCATCTATCCCCAAGGCCATCATCCCAACCCAGCTGACCCCCTTCCAGGCTGGCCTCCCCCGTGGAGCCACCACAAGGGAGGCCCGAAGGTCTGCTAACAAGAGGCAGGGCCTTCTGCGCGGTGGCACCGATGTGTGGAAGCGGCTCCTGGACGAGCTACGCCAAGCGCCTCCTCCCTGCTTTCATTTCGGAGGCTATTGAGAAACATTACTCTTTTCAGGAGGCCTGACTCCTTTCACACTGACCCTGCCTGAACGTCCTGCCTCCTGCCCTGCTCCGATCGGGAACATTTGTTTCTGGTGCTATTTGGTTGAATGCTCTTTGTGTTTTAATGTATCGTTCATTGTACCTTGACACTGGTTTTAGCTGCTTGTAAACCGCCAAGAATAGCAGTGCACCTGCAGTAATGGGGCAGTATATAAATTAAAGTAATAAATAAGTCGATAAAATAAATAAAAGCAAAAGCTTCTTGGGCAGTACCACTGAGAAGCCAGGCTTTCGTCTTGTAACACGCAGATTTCTCTGTGGGTGGGGGAAAGCACCCACCCGTCCCATTACCAGAAGCAGCAGTGAAAGCAACCCCAACGCTGTAGTTCCACAGAGTCTCGGTTCATTGCTAAATGTAGAGAGAAGGCGGCCACAAGATATTCTGCATATTCCTGACAAAGCTATCATGCCCCCAGTCCTGCCATCCCGGTATAAGGGTTGCAAAACTTGCAGCAGTTAATTGCAGCTAATTGATGATCTGCCGGGGCACCTCCTCCTTGTGCAAGGGGGACATGTGACTCAAGCACCTGCCCCCAGCCCCTCATCCATTAGTTGCAAGGGGTTATGCCAACTTTATGGAAACACCAATGTAACGGTGGCCAAAAATCCCCAGATTTCCAAACACCTCGTGGAAAACAAAGAGCCAACCAGAATGAATGGGGCAAAAACGATCTCAAAAGTTACCCCGACTTATTATCTTACTAGGGTACCGTTTTGGCAAGCCAAACACATGGGGACAAAAAAAAAACCCAACAACCCTCAAACAAAACCTGTCCAGTGGTGTTTCTGTTGTCCCGTGATTTATGCATTTATTTGCTGAAAATATTTTTTATTTTATTTTTATCCCACCTTTCTTCTTCAAAGGACCCAAGGCGGCTTACAACCATCAATAGGTAACATAACCGTGAGCATGCAAATATTACAAAAAGAATTAAAGAAGCATTCTATTAAAAATGGTCAATAAAGCTGATAGTAAAAACACAACTGAGCCCAACAACCCATTCAAAAATAAAACCACGGGCCAGTGAAAGAGAAGGGACAGGTTATCTGACGGTGGATCCCGTTCAAGAGAGATGAGGATTTCTTCCAGGAGGGAGCTGGGAGTGCTGGAACGGCCTCCAAGTCCAGGCTGTCACTTACCCTGGAGGACGCGCCTATAAAACCCGTACCCTTAATTCTCAAGATCACGGCATTCCAAGGGAGCCAGGAAACAGCCCCACTATTCATACCATGCGTTGGCTTTTTATATCTCCGTGGTTTTATCCTCATTCTGGGGGATGAGGATGGAGTCACGAACACGAGGCCTCGCTCCCAAGTCCTGCACTGGCAGGGGATGCCCTAGATGACCCCTGGGTGTCCTCTCAGGGATACAGTTCATTGGGATTGCTTCGCTTATTCTGCAGGTCACGAGAGAAAGGCCCCGGTGCAAGGAGCTCACCATTCTCTGACTCCAGGGTATTGGGAAATTTATCCGGCCGGTTCTGATTGCAGGGCAGGTCCAGAGCTGCAGGAAGAAAAAGTGGGAGAAGAGGAGGAAGAAAAAGGAAGCAAGCCAACAAGCACTCTCTCGTACCGTATGGGGGAAAAGCCCCAGAACCGGAGGCCACAAATCCCACCTGGAAAGGGGCCCTCCGCCTTCCCCTGACAGACCCTTTTGGGAGTCTGTTTGCCACGAGCAGAGAAGGTCGGAGAAGGATAACAAGAGGATTATGGAACAAATCCCAGCTGAAGCAAAATAAACTCAAAATGAAACCCTAGCTTCACCCCCTGATCTGATCCTGCAACAAATATTTCATCAGTACCACCGAGACTTGCTCCATGTCCCATTGCACCAAGTCAAGATGAAACACATCTTCACGGCTCCAAAATTTCCAAGGAGGAAAAGGAAAACCCAATCGTGTCAACCAAAAATAGCCTCTTCTGCACCTCTGGTCCGACACGGTTCACTTGTGCACAAATCCTTTTCTATCCCTCCTCAAGAAGGGAATTTCCAGAGGAGAAAGCACAGCATGCCAGCACCATCTGTATATCTGCACAGCTTACCACCTGATCCAACGAAGTGGAAGATCATGTTGTGTTTTTAAAGGCTGGTGGCTAACGATCCAACGAAGTGGAAGATCACGCACAAAGCGACATGTTGTGTTTTTAAAGGCTGGTGGCTAAAATGCACCCCACCGAAAAGTGCAACGAAACCCACTTTCGTCAAGGTGAGAAAGGCAAGGATCAGGTAAAGGAAGGTAATAAACACCTTGCAAAGTTTCAACAAGGAAACACAACTGGGAAGAAGACACAGGAGAGGGTTAGGGTCTTTTTAAGGAGAAAGGGTGTGTGTGAAAATATTTTAAGTAGATAAGTGACTTTGTTCTGAGTACCTTCATCATGAGCGGTCCCCTCTTCCGCCTCCTCCAAGTGGCTGGGCACCACTGTGATCTGGGTGCACTTCCCGTACAGGTCGACCACGGCCCAAACACGGGGCGGGATGCCAGTGGCTGCCGTGCCACAGTCCTGCCCGTTGACCCACAGGTGCAATTCACTGTTGGCCGTCCGCTGAATGCCCACCCGGTCCCCTTCCCCCAGCTGGTCCAAGTCCTGGCCGTACTCCTCCAAGATGGAGCGCCCGTCCCGCAGCACCGAGCAACCCGAAATGATCCAGGAGCCCCCTTTGAGGCCGGTGGCGCTGCTGGGGAAGTCCAGGTGGTTGGGATCTAAAGCGGTCACCCCAATCTCGATGGAGCCACTCCAGGAATTCACCTGCAGGACAGAGAAGCCGAGAGAAGTGCTTTAGTGCGGGCGTCCGGCTGGAAGATCCGGCTTTATTAGTTCAGGGAGAACCTGAGGAGACTTTTCTGGCAGATGGCTCACAGCCTGGGAGATTCCTAGGCAGCAGAGGCTGGTTTCATTCCAAGAACACAGCTCTTAAGGGATCCCAGGCCTGTTTCAGAAGGAAGGCACTTCCAGTACATAAGAACCAAAGAAGGGCCTTGCTCGATCAGGTCAAGGGCCCATCTAGTCCGGTTTCCTGTTTCTCACACACAGTGAGCCCACCAGATGCCTCCGGGAGCCCCCGAGACCACAAGAGACCCGTCTCCTGATACCCTTCCCCTGCCATTTGGGGGTCCCTTCCTTTTAAAAGCCTTGAGATTATACCTCCCCAACATGGCTTGTCACCTGTGATGGACTTTTCCTCCAGGATTCCGTCCAATCCCCTTTTAAAGGCACCCAGGCCAGATGCCATCACCACATCCTGTAGCAAGGAGTTCCGCAGACTAACCACATGCTGGGTCAAGAAGTATTTCCTTTGGCCTGTTCTCCCTCTCCCAACACTCAATTGGAGTGGATGTCCCCTGGTTCTGATATTAGGTGAAAGGAAAAAGAGCTTCCCTCTCTCCACTTTATATCCATCCCCTGCACAATTTTATACGTCTCAATCAGTAAGCCAAGTGGTTCTTAATCTTTCACGTTTCAGGATGCCAAGAACCTGGATCCCACTGTGATGATGGAAACCAGGGATGGGGACTTCAGTTGAAGGAGTGGCCATCAAGTTGGATTTAAGTCACACCGGTGACTCAACTTGGTTTGTGTGTGTTTTTTTTAATCCCAAAGACTTTGGGCTTGACTTGCGACTCGGAACCCACACATCCCTCCCTTTTTTTTCTGGAGAAAAAAAGGCTGTTTTTAATAGGGACTTGGACCTATTGTCAACATCCCCGATGGAAACGTAACACCTGCTTTCCCCCCACAAAGAGCTTTAGTCGTTTACAGGCATTCTGCTATTAAATTTAATATTCACGGTGAGTTCTAAGACGGTAATGATGCAAATGTACCCCCAAAAAAGGGGGGGGAATAACCCCATCAGTAATTCAAACTTGTAGTGATATAGTTGACCATGAATTTTATTGCTTTCGGACCTAAAGAATACAAAACCAATAAAGCATTGATTGTGCTAGATAAGCTGCCTGCGCGTTATGATCGAAAAACATCTGGGGGGAAATGACATTTGGGAATCTCACTGTTGTATTACCTTTAAGTGGAGCCCCACTGGAAGGGATCAAAGCAACCCCCAGCTTCCAAACTGGACAAACAGGTGTGTATGGAAACACCCCAGAAGTGAATTGAAGGGGCCCTGAGTGGAGTCTTCTTATTTTCCGTCTGCCCAACTCTTGACGCTGCTCCCTTTCCGTTTGGACCCCTCTGTGTTATCTCTATCCTCATCCACACCTTTCTCCAGGATGCAACCCTTCCCGCCCTCATCCATCCGTGATATCCAAGACAGAACGGCTTCCTGAGCAAGAGCAATCCTTACCAGAGTGCTTTCAGTGTTTCCATTTTTTTACTTCCTTGGGCTAAAACACTCAGACTCCTCTGGCCAGCCTGCTGACGCCTAACCCTCTCGACTCTCTCTTAGGTTTTATCTCAGCTTTAAATTGTTTGGGTTGATTTATTCGCCTAGTCCAAAGCGGGGCCACGAGGAAAGAAGAGGGGGGTGGGGTGGGCAGGCTCAGGGGAAGTCTCAAACTTTGCAGAATCCATCTAACGGTTTATCCTGTTTATTTTCCATGGCTATCTATTCTATCCAGATCACATTTATTTTGCATTCCTATCTATGTATTGCACGGCATTCATTCTGCACTGCTTTCTATCTTCTCTGTCTTGCATTGCTATCTATCTAGATCCCACATTTATTTTCAACTGCTCTCTTTCTGTCCGCAAATTTTGGGATTCCGCCCCCCCCAAGTTCTGCCCACCTCCCTCTCTTGTTTCTTGGTGTCCCCCTTTTTGGATGGTTGCTGCCTGGATTTCCTCTTATTTCACCCCTTGGCGGGGAGGGGGGGGAGAGGCTGCCTCTCCT